ACAAAAAATTGATTTCTGAAGAAATATTTATGAAATGAAGTCTGTTGTTGAATGAGTCTTAAAATAACATTGGAACAATGTTGTATTTCTGAATGGTCCATTTTCCTGTCTACAGATTAGGTCTACTTAAAAAATGGGCTCCAATAACTGCATTTGACTGGTTGAGTTAAAATAGTCTGAGGTACTAATCAAGACTTGGAAAACTTTTTGTTGTAAGCAGTTCCTATTGTGCTAGGAGCCACCCTGTACCCTGCTGGATTGTCTGCCAATATTTCCTCTGTACCCCTACAGGGTGAAGGTCAAAGGAAGGCAGGGTCGATTTTAAGGGGGTAGGTGAGTAGACCACCAGTTTATATTCCAACATTTTTTCTTTGTAGCTATTTTTTAATGATCACATTGTGGAAAGGAAGGGAGAGTGAGGTGGTTACATATGGGTGCTGCTATTGTTATGCTGGAAAATACTTTTTGATGAACAGTCATTTCCTTCCACTGCCGGAGGGTGTTGATAATGAGCAAATTACCTTTTACTCCCTCTGGTGTGGATGTGAAATTGGCTGTTAATAGAGTTGCTAATGCTACTGGGTTAGCATGTGATTGTTCTATTTTAAGCCAATTTAAGTTGTATTTGGGGAGTAGCCAATCAGACATCTCGCTAAAAACATGGGCCCAACTGCGGCATTTAATATTGAGAAACCTGCCTACCCCACAGACGTGGCTGTGAGCAGAAAGTGCTGAACATGCTGTCATTAAGGCGAGCTGTTTTAATACAATGTATTTTTCCTTTTGTAGGTACAAGAATGGTCTCATTAGCCAGATACCAAATGTTTTCATGAAATAGAGCAAGACCCACTTCAAACCCCAATAATATAGAAGGTCATCAGTCCATAATGTATTTTGTTTAATCTAACAATGGGTTAATATCAGCCATTTCATTATTGCTTGTTATGCAGGGAACACTTACTAGAAAATGAAGTGTTCAGAGATTAGTTGAAAAGCGCAAAAGAGGTGAGAGATTTTAGCAAGTTAGATGCTCAATTGGGCTAATTAAAGGTACATATGCTTTGATGGGTTCTGGGAGCATCTTTGATTTCTAAAGATGCTTGCCTAGGAGAGGGGGTGATGAGGTCTAATCATACCCTGCATGCGAGGCCCCCCCCCCCCCCGGGGCAGAGAACACAGCTTTTCTCTTTCACATGCTCCCCAGCCCACCCCCTTAAAGCACCTATTGCCACCTGGCACCTGGTGGGTGAATTGAGTACATTGCCTGGGAACATTTCTTGATTAACTAGGATATTCTTGAACAAAGAACTGTTGATTTGTGGTTTTCATGTTTTATTGGCTTTTCATGTTTTAAATATAAAGCTCATTAACTACACACAGAGAAGGAAACAGGTATGAAGGATGGAAAATAAAACTCAGCTGATGTGATACAGAAAGGCGCAGGGCATGCTACTCTGGTTTGGATTAATTGGGTTTGGCACAGTTAGGGATCCTGTCACCTGATCGCTTTACTGGGTTGAAGAAATTGTGGGAGTTAGTGGAAAGTGCTGGTGCCTGACAGTAGTAGCCCAACCTCAAAACCTGCTACCAAAATACTTTCCAAGAAAATTTTAAGCACACAATCCTTCAAATCAACCTCTTAACTTCCCACTCATCAAACAAACATTTGCCCAGAACTGCTTTGGGCCAGGCTGGGATACAGAGCTGACTGGAACAAGGTCTCTGAACATGGGAGCACAAAGGGTACCAGAAAGACATCAGGGAAACGGGACAAATAGTGATAAGTGGGCAGGCAAGAGGTGATTAAAGGCCTGGATGTTTGGAAAACACTTTAGTGTTATCTTCTATTTTGGTTAGACAAATACAAAAAGTACTTGCAGTGTGCCAGGCACCACTTCATAGATTCTTTACCATTATTAACCCATTAATTCTCTGAATAATTTCCAGAGGAAAGATGATTATCTTCTTCATTCTGTGGTTCATTTTGCACAGAGAGGTTAAATAACTTGCCCAAGGTCACACAGCTCATTAATGCAGAGCCAGGATTTGGACTCACATCTGCCTCCAGAGTCCATGCCCTCAGCCACTAGATGCTGCCTTCCCTTTAAGCCAGTCCCAGGAAGACAGGTAGAATTCAGGAAGATGGAGAAAAGGCAATACATAAGATGAAGACAAAAAGGACAGCAATCGAGGGACGGATGAGCTTGTCCAAGGGCACTGATGAGTAACTGTGTAGCCCAAAAGAGAACTCCAGTGGGCAGAGCGGCAGCAGGATATGAGGAGGTGCATCTGGAGTTGAGTGCCAATCCTGGAGGACCGTGCAGAGAACGGGTAAAGGGGCCACGCAGGAGCCCGTGGATGGACAGCCAGGGAGAAGCCATTGCAACGGGAGAAGGCGGAGGGGTGACAGCAGGGTCCATTCGGTCGGCTGCTGCAGAAGGTCAAGTAAGATGGGGAAAACCAACAGGACATTTGAGAGATTAGGAAGCCACTGCTGATCCTAGTGACAAGGTCAGAGGAACCACAGACTGAGTGACACTGTAGTGGATGAAGAGTTTCTGGGAGGGGAATGTAGTGTGACTTCTAAAACATTTACAGAGTATCAGGGAACAGGAGAGACAGAGACAAGAGAGGAAAAAAGAGGGAGAGAAATGAGTGGAAAGGAAGGTGGAGAGCAGAGCTAAGGCTCAGAGGCAGAGGGCTGGAAACAGCCTGAGGGGCTGAGAGAGAGATGGGGAGGGGGAGGGGAGGGGGAGGGGGAAGGGAGGGGGAAGGGAGGGGAGGGGGTGGGGCTAGCACAATGGAGGTTCAGAACCTCTTGGTGGACTCTGGGCCTGACAATCTCTGGAGCACAATACAGTTTTATCTCTTCCAGGCAGCAGCGGAATATAACATACAAAGGTTCCTAAGCTGATTTAGTACAGGGCCTTCCTAAGATGATGCCCCAGACTGTGAGGACTTTGAGGGCAGTCTGGTGCATCTCAACAGAGTACCAGGCAGCAGTGGTTTCTTGGTGCGTTTGTTGAATAAATGGGTCTTATTTACATTTTTATTGTGAATATTATATAAAAGAATACGGCACTGATTTTAAACCACTCAGAAATACAGTCATAAAAACAAAATTTTATAGCCTGCAAGTCATTTTAGGAAATGTTGCAAATACATATATCTCTCCTGCCTGAGGCCGTGAGGTAATAGGACCATTATAGGATTTCTCATTGGGTCATCAGAAAAGTTTCGGCTCTCACATTCTTGCTGGCAGGTAGAAAAAAATAAATGGTTTCTGAGGCATAGAATATAGTTAAAGGTATTAAGAAAATGTACAACAATTTTACAAGTGTCTTGACTACTAATTTGTATAAATGTTTATTCCCAAAATGTTCCAGCATTATCTTTTTCCTTTCAGAAAGGTCAGGCACATGCCACTAAAAATACATTTAGTACATCTGAGAATATTTCTCAAGTGATTGATTGGGGATAATGTATGGACTATTTAAATATATCTCTTATTCCCAGTAATGCCACAACCTCATTAGAAGTGACTTGGCTCATTGCTTAAGCAAAATGATTTGGCTACTTAGGACCTCTTCTTTAAAAATAAGCTATTTTCTTCTAATCATTTACCAGAACCAGGAATCTATTTTTAAATAGGGCTTGAGAACGGGCAAGGTCATTGACATGAACCTTAGGGAATTCCTCTAGAAGTTGTGTCTGTTGTATGTTCTGGCTCATTTCTCTGCTTTCCTGGCCCTCTAGAGGGGAGGAACTCTACATTTGAAGGATAAGGGCACAGCTACTTCTCTGGAGGATTGTGGAATCCTCTAGAGAGATTTTGTACAGTATTCTCTGTGCCAGGCACCCAGCCCGTAAGGTATTGAGCCCTGGTTTTAGCAGTGACAAATTGCTGATGCTTTTTGGAAACATTTGGAACATCATTTGGCATACTAGAAAATGAAATTTGCTAGGCATTGAGTGTGGAATATATAATTCCTTCTCTGTAGCTGAGACATTCAGATGCATATAACATATATGCAAGTTAGGAAGGAGAACAGTAAAATGAACGAGTGATCCTTCTGAGAGTCGAAATGCTGCCCACCTGGAGGTATGCTTCTCCACTCTCCCTCCGGCCATCCCTGCGCTCCCCTCAGGGGTAAGCTCTGTCCTGAATGTCTATTATTTATTTAATTAAAAATCTTTTTATTGCATATGTGTGTCTAAGAGAGGGAAATAAGAGAGAAACACAAGTACACACGTGTATGTGTGAACGTGCACAATTCCACCTTATAATTTAAGTCTGACCTACAAACTACGCAGATTTCCTCAGAATTTTTTCTGATAGCCCAAATCCAACTATTATGAGATGTTAAAAACGTTACTGTACTGAAGATTAAACAATTTATTAAATCTAGTTGTTGTGCACATGAGGAAACTGGCAGTTTCCTTCATTGATTGTGGAGTGTTAATTGCTTTCTTTTTTGAAAGTAATTTAGCAATAGAGAACAAAAGTTCTAAAAACAGTCCAATTGGTCCAGCAATTCCCCCTGTAGGATTTTATTTTAAGGGAAGAATAGAATTTGTTAATTGTACACTTACTGAAAATAGCAAAAGGGCAAAGAAGAAATAATTTGAATATTCAAAATTTATTGGTTAAATACCTACATAGAATTTTAGCATGAAAGGATGTACATATTATGGAGAGTAGGAAAAAACACAATTATGTAACATGTATGTAGACCATCGTACTTTTAGGACTTTCAATTTTTAAAAATAACATTTATGTAAATGGGAAATGTGATAGATGCAAATACACTAATTTTTTTTTTTTATCGGTACCAGGGATTGAACTCAGGACTGCCTGCTTGCAGGGCAGACGCTTATGCCGCTGAGCTAAATCTCCAGCCCAAAATACACTAAATTTTATAAGCAGTGGCAAGATTCTAGGTGATTATGATTATCACTGGTTATCTGTATTTTTGTACTTCTATGAGAAGCATGCGTTACTTGTTTTGATACAATAAAGAATAACTTGTTACAGTCTATTTATTAAACAGAAAACCAGGAGTTTTTTGATACTGCCTATACTTCATTATCCATCTGTAGATTATCTTTGGAAAATTTAACATAAAAGATTGATACTTACTACCAAGGCATTTTCTCCTTTGTTGTGCTCTCTGGGGTTATAAGATGATTTTTGTATCAGCCTGAAAAGTCAGAAATATAATTACATAACCCTCAAATACATTCCGTTGAGCAAAAAGCCAAATATCTGTGTTACTCTTGACCACATCCTGTATGCCTTAGCTCCAACCAATCATCATGGAGCTTTCATACCATCACCAGCTAACTTTCCACTTCCCTGTGTTTTCCTCCAGGTGATTTAATATTTGTAATTCCATTTGTCATTACAACATCCCCAAGAGGTGGAGGGTGAGTATATATAGCGGTAGGTATAGTAATTACCAAGGTCATTTTTTATTTGGTAAAAAACTGGTCAAATATTTTCATTTTATAGTCCCTGGTCTCTCAGAGCCTTTGAAAATAATGGCCAGCAGTTCAGCAAGTTCATTAACTAATTCCCTTAAGGTTGGGGAATGCACATTATCTGGACCTGCTGCTTTACATATTATGCTATGTTTTCAAGAATTCCCTTACCTGGTTTATTTCAACATCTATATTTAAAGGTCTTCATTACTTACTAATTATCTATGCTCCCTTTCTTTATTTTTCTTGTTAAAGACCAATTTAAAAGAGCAGCTCGGTATCTCTGCCACTCAGAGTCACCATTAATTTCACTCCCCTTCTCATTTATTAGTCCAGCTATTTTATAGCCCATGCTTCCCCCTCCCTGGCCCATCTGCCTTGCCTCTAACCTTCTTGGCAGTATTAACTCATTCTGCTTTGTCATCTGCTCTTATCTTTCTTTCCTTGACAGAGCCTTAGAAAGAGTTGGTACATTCATCCTTTTTTCCCTCTTCCTCATGCTTTATTTCCCCAGTGGGCCTTCTTCCCCCTTTAGATCTTTTCAAGGTTCTTTGTCAAGCGGCTCCTTGCATTTTTCATTCAAGGCATCCTGGGCCTTTGTGGCTTAACTGTGATTTGAAAACTTTGTGCCCTTGCCTGTGGTGCTATCTGAATGTCTTAATTCACCCAAATTGGATTTCTGAAAATCCTTGAACTTGAGCAAGTTTCTTAATGTTTTCAAATACAGGGATCAGGTCATATCACCTGGGCAGCTGCATCTTGTGGTCAATAGGATCAAAGACTGTTTGTGGGAGAGAGAGAGAGAATGGGTAGAGATGTGAGGTCACTGTTCATGCCTTGGGCAGGATATAGATATTTTCACACCCAAATGTATCCTTGACAAAGGAGCTTAAGTATCTTTGGTGTTTCAGGTTGTTGACATTGAACTTGGTTTTCTGAGCAAGAAACACACAGTGAAAGGCAGGAAACTTGCTGTTTAGAAAGGTGAGATTAACAAGAGCTACTCAGGAGTTCTTCTTTCTAGTTTACATTAGTTAATGGAATGAAAGGACAGGTGCTAAGTTTTTACTTATCAATTTAGATGCATCAATCCACAGTGTTCCTTCCAAACATGCGAACATGCATAGACATGGGGATTTTCAGATAAATATGTACTCTCAAGACAGATGCTGCAAGTCTGCAGCAGCTATGGAGGTGAGAGGTTCAGGTTTCTCTCAAGAGAGCACCTGCTACAAAGGTGCAGTTAGCAGACAGCCTCTATCTGAAACTCCAGGTCAGCTTGTAGCCAATGACTGTGCAGAGTGGTGACACCATGGCCTACACTTCTATTTCTGGCAGGACTCCTGATAGGTGATCTTTGTGCTGGATTGCTCTGTTGGGTCACCCAAACTGTTATCTGAGCTGTACTGCAGTCTGAGGTTCTTCCTACCTCATTTGCCTTTTTTTTTCTTTCTTCTTTTGACAGATGTCAGGACCTTCAGGGCAAAATGAAAGCTCTGTCTTGTGACCCTGATCCCTCTCTGCTTTCTTTCACTAAATCTCTTATACTGCTAATGCTATCTTGGCATCTGCTTCGTGGATGCCCTGAACCAACACGAGAACCCAGCCTCCTTTTAGCCTTGCTAACCTTACCTTTCTCCCAACCCATCCTGTCTGGCACAGGCTCAGCCATTCATTCTTTCACTTTATTTTATGGAAAACTCAAATTCTGTATAGTCACAGAATGTATTCCAAGTTAAATGAAAATGGAATTGGGGGTCACCTCTAGTCTGGGATTATATATACTACTACTCTAATTCATTAATGGGGATAATTGATCTTATTACAGTTTGATCAAATTGGACAGTTCCCAGGAAAAGAGCTTGTACTTAAACTTCTGCATCACTAGGTGATGCTGCTGCCCCATACAAAGACAGTAGCCTGAGCTGGGCTTGGCCAGAGACATCCCGGGCTTGGGGTTTTGTCTTTCCTTGACTGGATAAGGCCTATCAGTCCATAATACATTCCAGAATCTGAAAAAGTAATTTCTGGATCGAGAATTCGGATTCTAGGAAAGTATGTTAAATCAGTCTCTCTTTCCCTGAGCTTACAGAATTGTGTGCATGTATGAAGAAGTTTTCAGGAACTCCAAAATTGACTCAGGAACTAACTGTGGCTGTTCTATTTTCTCTAAATACCCACCAGTTCATCTTACGTGACTGTTCATGCTTTTGAATCAGTGGAACAACTGTAAGTTCAGTAAATCTCATTTTATGTCCCCAGGCGTGGGAGAACAACTGATTCAAGGGGTATTGATACCAAAGAACCTTAGCTACACTCTCCCTAAAGAGTTGCATGTCCTGGCAGCACTCACGTGTGTTAGCAGACTAGGGAGACACGGGGCTTCTTCCACGTTTTGTATCTTCTCTGCTGCATACAGAACAGTTAGGTCCCCAGCCAGACTTTTAACTTTAATGATGCTATCTTTGACGCCGCCTCCTCTACATCCTTCTATGCACAGTCAGCAATCTGTAAACGTAACACCTGTCTTGTAAATCCTCATAGACAAAGCTGCTGAGTGGGACTAAAAATTTAACCCTGCAATTCACCTCCATCCCCAATCAGTTATTTCCATTCTACATGCACAATCTTCCTTCCTTGGGATAGCTGGATTGGTGCACTGGTTAATCTGAGTTTTAGGAAGAAAACATTTCTTACACAGGAGATGATTATTTGGTGGCATAAGAAATACATTCATATTAACAGACTCAAATTTATTCATGACTGTGTTAGGGAGTCTCTGGAACTGTAACCATCAATCCATTGTTCACATTTTAAAAAAATATAGTGTTCTATCTTTTTAAAAAAATACTATTCTATAATAGGAATTTCCCAGAAGACTTCTTGTCCACTGTGTTATATGGAGACCTTAGGATGTTAGTGAAATAATTTTTGAAAAATACCCCAAATATTGCTAGTAGGATTCACAATCTATGTGCAATGCTAGTCAAATTTGCTTGATTGTGAGAATACAGATTCCCAGAACTTTTATCTGGAGGTTTTGATTCAAGAGGTCTGGGATAAGTTTGGAAATTTTTTTTGTATATGTGCTATGGAAGTGAGCACAGGAAATATGTACTTTAAATCAGCATCCTAGTGACTTTTATAGTCAGGCAAGGCTCACTGTACAAAGTAGGTCTCAGCTAGGAACCAGCATATGACTCCAACCAGACTCAGCAGAAGCCACAGTGCAAGAAAGAGATCATGGAGATTTTAATAGCTAGAGAGAGAACATCTGTGAGTCACAGGATGCCCTCACCAGGTAATTGGACACCTAGGGTCAGTGCAGCCACCTGGAAGCTTCTGATAGAAAAAGCACTGGGGAATCTTTTATTAACGTATTTAATATGCTTGACTAAGGGGAAAAAGTATACGAACCTAGGAGGCCTCGTTAGCAACCCATCCCCGCATAGTGCATGGCCCAGAAATTTAATTTAACCCTTGTTTATCCTTCTCCAGGGAGAAGCCAGCTGACACATATAAGCCATCCTAAAAGTGCTAGGGATCCCTGAGACCCCCAAGGACAGTGCTTAGGAGGATTCATAGGAAGTCACATGGAATTTTGTTATGGAACAAGGTTCTGGCTTTCACAAGAGAGCAGTCTGCCATGTTCTGTCTCAGGATGCCCTCTTCTTCTACCAGGGTCAGCTTTGAGAACCCCTTGAGACCCCAGAATATTGACCCATCCAATGAGAGACCCCCCATTCCTTCTATGTGGCTGGTATGTAAAGGTAGCTCTTTTCTAACTGAGGGTTGACAAAGATAAAGTGGTACAGAACCTTAGTGGGAAGCTGAAATTGGAACCATGTGCCTCAGAGAGTCAAATGGAAACTCTGATCTGCAGCTTTTCCAGGCTGCTTCTGTCACTCTGTATTCAGTCTGATAGCACACCTGCACACCAAACCACAGCAGGCGAGATTCCAATTTACCCTGTCCTCAACAAACTTGGCTACCCCATGGGAAATGTTTTTATGTGGTGGCAATAGCTAAGAGAATATGCAACATTCTTTTTATGTCTGCAGATAAATCATTCTGCATAAGGGGCATCTTTTTGTTTTCTATCCCTGAAAGAGTCTGGGGGTAGCTTTTCCTTTATTTTCTTTCTTTCTTTTTAAATTTTTTTTGCCTTTTTCATAAATAAATATTTTAACTGGAAATTTCCAAGTGTATGACAGGCCTAGAATGTGAACTTGAATGTACTGTAATAGAAATCATCAGTTGCCATGGCAACGTGTTCCAAGAGCAGATCGCACCAAGTCACGTGAGCGGCGAGTGCTCAGTAATACTAACACATCAGAGAGCGAGGCCACTTAACCTCAATCGCTTCCAGCTATTGTGCAGAATGCAATTGAATTTATTCCTAATTTCTGCCAGTGCTAAGGAACAAAATTTCCCTGCAGATTTTAATCTTACTCAGGCAGCACCAGCTTGTGCTCAGACACTGTTCAGCACCAATATTCAGCCTGGCTACTCACCCACTTTACAGCTCTATTTTCTTATTCTTATTTTTAATAATAGTTTCCCTGTCCCTGCTGAATCCCACGCATCCCCATGCCCTGGGGAGAACTGCCTTCGTCCTTTCCGAATGGCTGCACGGTTTCTCTGACTGCCTGCTAACGCAAGGAACACAGCCTTTATAATAATACCAATAAAAACATGACACATCTCCACTCAGCAATAGTTTTCTCCTCTACCCCAAACCTGTTCTGAAATATAATTCTTGGTAGCTTTGGGCAGCACTTTGGAATATCACAATTAGCAACCCCGTCATAACAAGGCATATCCATGGATCAGTGAATAATGGAATCGAAGTGTGTTATTTTCTGTCCCTTGTCATAGTCACCTCCCCCTATTCCCAACCAGGAAAGCAACCCAGACTACCAGGAGGTATAGCAGCTGATCACAGAACACTCATTTCGAGAGCTTATCAGCTCCTATGAAGGCTGATAAATCAGAGACTGTCATATGGACAGTCTCAAGTTAGCAGCGTCATCGATCTCCCCTGCCCCTTTTAAGTTATTTGTCTTATTCACTTCCAAAGATGATATCAGAGATGCCAAATGAGCCTTTGTTTCCTGCACTCTTGTGCCGCCCAGGATGAGTTGCTGTGTTGTTGCAAGGAACTAGGAAGCATGCTACTAGGGCTTAGCCCTTTGTTTCCAACCCAAGGTCACCTCTCGCCCATTGGCTCAGGTATTGTCAGCAGTCTGCCTGTGTTCTGAGGCAGGAGGCAATGTCCTTCCTGGCTGACAGTCGTTGCACGGCTCTAGCCTTCTAATGACCTCCTCCCTTTATGAATGTCATTTTTAAAAACGACGCAAAACCTGCTTGAATAGCTAAATGGAGACAAGGCAGAGTCCAGGTCTCAGAAAGTCCATGTTGAAGGTCAGGCAAAAGGAACCTTAAAAAAATAGGGAGATTATTGGAAAGGTCTTTTGAGAAAGAAAAAGAGTAGTTTCTGCAATAGCCTTCTTTAGCAGTGAGGTTCCTCCACGGGGTGTGGGGTGAGGTGGTGGGGGTGCAGTTGCAAATCACTTACTCAGCCAGTGCCAAGCCATTGTTCCAACACTGTGTGGGAGCAGGAAATGTGAAGAGGTTCAGAGGAGAGGAAATGGCGGCATGGTATTAGGACTAGCTGCTGGTGGTCAGAGCTGATGCTGCACGGAGAGCTTGGTAACTATGGAAATCTTCATGGAGCCTGTGAGAGAGAAGCAGCCAGAGAGGAAATGAAGAGAAGCCTTGCAATGAATTTTATATCAGCAGCGTGACATTTGGATCTGGAGAGAGAAAACCACCTGGCAAACTGTTGGTAGCACACATGGCTCTGTGTCTGTCCTGCAGTGTCCTGGAATCCCTCTTCCGCACTGCCTTGCCCCACCTCTGCCCATCCAGAGTTGGGCTACAGGGCACTCTCAGGTGTTGCCAGCCAGCCTTCTTACTCCTACACTTTAAGTTAGCACTTGTTCCCTCCTGCCAGGACAAGGAAGCACTGTCCTTTAATTGGCAAATTACCCAGCCTTTTACAAAACTGAATGTTTTCTAATAAAAATTGACTTGATTTATGCTGGAGCATCATTTCCATACTCACTAAAGTACTTCTGGATCTCTCACAGAGGTATTCAGGCAGGTAGTGTCTTAGAGTCTATATGGTGTCTAAACTGCATCTAAGCAATATTCCCAGTTATAGAGACCTGGAAACTGCATCAATTCAGAGGTACATGCCTCAAAACACTGAGTCTCATGGGGTCCCATTGAAGAAAGGAATGTCAGGGAAAAGCTGGAGAATTTTCTCTCTGATGAATTTCATTAAAGGGAAGGACAATCTGTGCTATTATGCTAATATTGGCAATAGCGATTTTATTATGTTCATTAATCTATAGTCAAGGAATAACATTATTATTACTCTTATAAGCTTCTCACAGTGCTTTTGTAACTACTACCTTATTCAAACTTTAGTGCAATTCTATGATATAGGTGGAGTGCATTTTACAAATGATAAAATTAAGAGCTAGAAAGGTTGAGGCTAGGACAAACTCTTCTAGAATAAAGGACAAGAGCTGCATTTCAAGATACTTGGTCCAGGGCTCTTTCTACCACCATGACATACTGAACGAACTGAGGGGTAGGGTGTCATTAGGGTTTAGATTTGAAATGTCCCCAACATTCATGTGCTATATGCTTAGTCGTGAACTGATAAATTTTTAGGGAAGTAACTGGATCATGAGGGATTAACTTCATTAAGTGGATTAATCCATTGAGGAAATCATAATTCGATGGCATTATCGGGAGTAGTAGAATCTTAGGAGGTGGGGCCTAACTGAAGGGAGTGGGTCAAGGGGGCATAACCTTGGGGACTATATCTTGTCCTGGCCCCTTCTTTTCTGGCTCTTTTCCAGACTTATCTGCTTTCTGGGTGCCATCAGGTCAGCAGCTTTTTCTCACCATGCCCTCTTACCTTTTCAGATGTTTTTGGTTGGCCAAATTGCTAAAAACAATAGAGTTGGCCAATCATAGGTTGAAATCTCTGAAACCATGACTCAAAATAAGTATTTCCTTCCTTAGTTCTTCTCAGCATGTCCTGCACGATTTGGTATAGTTCTATTTTGGAAATTTCTAGTCCATGAGTGAATGTGAAGAGATGGGTGGTTGAGCAGAAGCCACACATCTCTGACTTGATCATGAAAGGACAAATTGTCTTTGGATAAGTTTGGTGTGGCTACTGCTCAACAGAGTTTTCCAGATTAAATGGAAGCAACTCAGCTCAATTCACACTTTTGGGAAGCTTGAATCCTGGTGGCAAACAGGAAGGCAGGTTTCATTTTTTATGAGAAGCTCACTTTGCAAACCTACCTCAGATGCAGTGGGACTTGGAGTGAAGGTGGCATTCGTTGTTTTGATGTAAAAGTGTTACGATTTAAATCTAAAATGTCCCCCAAAGTCTCATGTGTTCAGTGGTGGAAGGGATTGCAAAGAGATTGGGTCATTAGGATTTATTAGTAGTTCATTGATAAACTCATAGTTGAATATGCGTTTAGGAAGTGGCACTTGGCTGAAAGAGATAGGTCACTGGGGGCATGATCTCTGGCCCCTCTTTCTCTCTCTCTTTCTGTCTCTGTTCTTCTCTCTCTCTCTCCTCCTCTCTTCCTCCTCCTCCTTCTCTCCTCACTCTCCTCTACCTCTCCCCTCTTCCTGGCTGTCAGGAGCAGCTTTCTTCTAGCATGCCCCTTTACCATACTGTCCCCACCTCGGAGGCAGTCATTTATGGACTGAAATCTCTGAAAAGGTGAGTCAACTCTCCTCCTTTAAATTGTGAGTATCAGGTATTTTGTCCTAGCAGTGGGAAAGTAAACTAATACACAATGCAATGATACTCTGTATAGAAGGCCCATAAAACTCCAGCAAAAGAGACCTAGATTTATTAATCAAATTCAGTAGCATAGCAGGGTACAAAGGAAGCATTAAAAATATCAATAGCATTCCTATACACAAGTAATAAACTCACTGAGAGAGAAATTAGAGAAATAACACCTCCCAAAATGGCAGCAAGAAAAATGAAAGACTTAGGAATCAATTTAATGAAGAATGTAAAAGACCTTTCCATTGAAAACTATAGTACTCTGAAAAAGGCAATTGAAGAGGCTATTAGTAAATGGAAAGATATCCCTTGTGTTGGGTAGGAAGAACCATTATAGTAAAAATGGCCATACTTCTAAAACTGTCACACAGATTTAATGCAATTCTAATCAAAATATCAATAGCACACCTTACAGAACTAGAGAAAACAATTATAAAATTGATTTGGGACAAGAAGAGACCTAAAATAGAAAAAGTAATCCTGGGCAATAAAGTCAAGGCAGAGGGCATCACAATCCCCAACTTGAAATTATACTACAAAGCTACTGTGCTAGAAACAGAATGGTACTGGCAACAAAACAAAACAAAAACAAACAAATAAAAAAAAAACCAAAACACAGACCTGAAGACCAATGGAACAGATTAAAAGATACAGAAACAACTCCAAACACACTCAACTACCTTATTTAGACAAAGAGGCCAAACACCTTCACTGGAAGAAAGATAGACTCTTTAAAAATGGTACTGGGGAAATTGGCTTTTTTTTTTTAAATTTAAAGAGATAAAAAAAACAAAAAACGGGTAGGAATAATATAGACTTTCAGGAAAATAAACAGTAAGAAATCACTAGTTGATAAGTTACATATGATCATCTTAGAAATAGTTGTTCAAGTTACAAAATTAAAGCATACAAAGTGACATTCAAATAATGTCACCACAAATAGTGATGATCCAACAAATGATCCAACAAAAACTTAGTAATATGGTTATCAGTCCTATACACTTGTTTTTTATCTTAAAGAGGGTAAGATTAAACATGACAATATGGAACAGAACAGTTCATAAGGAAACAATTTAAAGAAACACAGATTTCAAAGCAAGTCCACTAGAAATCTTCACTGTCTATCTTATTGTCTCTAGTTTTCTTCCAAATAGTTGTCCCCATCTTCACACACATTGAATATATACTAAGCATTACAGAACTAATCAAGTCATTACAGGATGATGAAGGCTTTTTAGGTCTTCAAGACCTGATTTTGGGGAAATCAATAATGACTACCGTAATGTCTCTCATTCTCTTCATAGTAGCTGTCTTTATCTTTACGTATGCTGAAATTGAACATAATAGACTAGACTAATATCACTCTGAACAGTGAATAATAGCATTGCTAGATCTTTCTATATGCCAAAGATTGAAGAGTACACTCATAAGTCTCACTATGCACTAAACTAAAAACAAAACGGATCAAAGATCTAAATATTAAAACAGAAATGCTTAATCTGCTAGAATATAAAATAGATAAAACTCTTGAAGACATAGGTGTAGCCAAACAAAACTCTGACAGGAAATATTACAAACAACCAACAAATTGAATCTCATCATATTAAAAAGCTTTAGGACACCAAAAAATATGACCCACAGAATGAGAAAAAAATTTGTACCTGATATTCCTCAGAAAAAGGACTAGTAACTAGAATATAGTTACTATAGTTACTACAGAGGATTAAACAAAAAATCAGACACTCCCAAATTTAAAGACCCAATCCAAAAATATGCATATGAAGTAACAGATGCTTCTGAAATGAAGTACAGCCAATAAATGAATATATGTAAAAATGCTCAACATCACTGGTTATTTGAGAAAGGCTATCATCCAGTAATCGACCAATAACAAATAGTAGTGATGCTGTAGTGAAAAAGAAATTTTTTTCCACTGTTGTGGGAGTGTAAATTGTGCAGCCGACATGGAAATAAGTAAGGAGACCCCTCAAAAAACTGAAATTGAGGTTCCATTTTACCCAGCTATTCCTTTCTTTGGTATCCTCTGAAACAGTTAAAAGCATACCACAGTGACACATGCACACCCTTGTTTATAGAAGTTCAATTTGTAATAGATGAATCCTGGAAACAGCCCGTATGCCCATCAACAGATGAATGGATAAAGAAAAAGTGGTTTTGTATATAAGGGAGTACTACTCTTCCATAAAGAAGGATAAATTTTGGATATTTTAAGATGAGTGGATGCACCTTGAGACCATATTTTTAAGTGAAACAAATCAGACATACGTTTAAATATCACAATGTTTCTCTTGAGTGAGAGAAAGCACAAATAAAGACTCAAATAGATGATAGATATTGGTAAGTAGGGAGAAAATGTTCAAATGGGAAAAGGGAAAAAAGGAGGGAATAGGGGAAAAGGAAAGGAAGGAAAGAAAAGAAAATGTGTTGGGCATGTGCATCAACTTCCCATGAAAGTAACCATGTACTGCCTACATATACTAGGAAAACAATTTAAAGTATAGCATGTCAGTTCTATTAAGAGTTGCACTGCATTTTCATCTGGCAAATACCGGGGGAAATAGATATTCTTATTTCTTGGTGTGTCTTTCCCAATTCCAGCCTCTCTTCCTTACTCTGTTCTTGGTGATCCAGGGAAGGAACTAGAGTGACTTAGGAGTCAGGGATCTGTGGTAGACACTTTCGTTCACTTAGCAGAATGTTAGAATGAGGATGCATTAAAAGGGCTTCTTGGAAATGGCACCATCAAAAGATCCAGCTAATGATTATCTGGCCAATAGAGAAAATATTCCTGTACTACCTGAAGTTTCTATGGCTACTGGTACTGGTGCTGAGGTCTATTACAGAAAGTAGCCTCAAGGTGGCTGAATAGTACTGAATTATATAAATCTATTTTTTCTTTCTCTATTTCTTTTTTCTCTCTTTTGATGAGCAGAGGCCATTTTGCCTCTGAAGAAGTATGCAACAGGGCATGTCAAAAGTCTTGCAGGCTTTTACATTATTAAAGGATGATAGTTCCGAAGGGGATGATACCAGCCCCCAAATGGAATTTGGAAATGTATATGATCGGTTTTACTGGCAGTTCATATTAATGGGAGATACTGTTGGGATTTTATTCTCTAGTGGCTGGTAACGCTAAATATCCAACAGTGAATGGACAGTTGAGCACTATGACATGTCCTTCTTCAAGCAGGTATAGCATCCTTTTATCTGACACTCAGGAGTAGGGCTTGGTATTTTGGAGAAAGATGAAGCCAGAACTGCCCAGGACCTTAAAGAGATTCCCCAAAATCGAGAGATTGAATGGAGAGAATGAGGAAGGTAAAAAGGAGAGAAAGCATGGAATTTTTGATTGCAGAGGGGATTTGTAATGAGACCTGTCAACGTGTTTAGGTAAATGGCAAGTCTTCAAGAATGGAATGCATGCCTGGAGCATCTCGGCCACCATTTTTCAGCCTTGGCATAGTTAAAATAATTATTTCCAGTAGGGAGAATCTAGTGCATTGTAAGATGGTTTAGCAGCATTCCTGACCTCTATGCACCAGATGTTGATGGTACTCTGCACAACCCCACTCAGTCACAGTCACTAACAATGTCTCCCAATATCGCATTGCCAAACGGGAGGGTGGCAAGTGGGGTGGGCCTGGTGAACTTCTTGGGATTCTCTGCTCTAGGCCAGAGGTTGCAAACTCAATTATTTGTACAAGGTATACAAAGATAACACAAATAGTAGCAGTCATAACAATGAACTCTTCTATGTTGCTTATGAGGGGCCAGACACCACTCTAATGACATAAATTTTAATTCACTTAGTCCTCTTGCCCTGTAAATAGGCATAGCTTCACTTTACAGATGAATAAACTGAGGCACCAAGAGACTAAGAAACTTATACAAGGTTACATATTAGTAAGCGACAGAGTGAGCTTTTGAGCACAGATTCGTGCCTTTCTCTTGTGAGGCCTTCCCATGGCAGCAATTCCTTTATTTCAGCTAAGTTGCCTAGTGTACGTTTTTTAAGGCTTAAGCAGTTTTAAAGTTTCCTGTGATAGCAATGTGTCTATAGTTGACAGCATTGCTCAAGTGAGAAGTCTTGGTGAATTGACAAAAACAGGTGGGCCATTTTAAAGGAAAGAGTGTTAATACATCTTCTGCAGTGTATGGGACTTTCCTCTCAGCTAGATCCTTTTATATCCTGGAATCATAAGGTTCTACTTCAGTGGGGCACACGTACAGATTAGGTGCATCCAAGACGTACCATAATATCTGATGCTCTCCTTTTCCTTTTGTACATGGGAGGCAAGGTCAAAAATCTGCTGAGAGATGGGCGCTGTGTAAGCAAAACTGTCACATCTTCTTGGGGATCTTCTATTAGGCCTTGGGGAACAGCAGGCTTCCTGGGGAAGAGAGGAGTTACCTGCGGACCCTCATTTTGCATGCTGCCGGTAACATGTACAGAAACTGTCCATAATGATTGTTTTATCTAGTTCCTAATCCTCTGTCTGGATGCATTTATTCTTCTTCAATTTTATTTTTTGCAGGCTAAATAACTCCTTGTCTTCAACCTATCTCTGAGACACATTTACAGAATCTTTTCTAGATACATACTTTAGTATCTATACCATTGCTTTTCCAGTTCTTTTCCAAGCAAAATAGTGATCTGGAGGTGTTGATTGGAAAAGCTAAAACTTGGTCCTCAGTTTTCAGGCTTTCCTTTGAGAAGATAATGAAATTCTAATTTGTGTTCGTAGATTATGCTGGGTTATTGTTCTCAGAATCATACACTTTTGGACTTTAGTTTAGATCATGGCTTAAGAGGTACAAAAATTATAGGATGTTCACATTTTCATTATATTTCATTCTTTTCAATTCCATAGTTAGATCTTTAATTCCTGCATTACATTTAGTTTTTAATTCAATTAAGATCATGTATGCTTCCTCTGATTATCATAGTTAGAAAAAAACCTGATTTTTCAGAGTAATTCTCTTGAACATGATATGATTCCATTTTCAGGATACAGATGGCTTGGCTCTACAACAAATAGGAATGCAAACAAAGTTGCCAATCCCAATTCTTTAACATTTAAATCACTCAAGATATTCCCCTGTATTTCCAGCTTATATTTAACTGACATTGGCCTTTCCCCCAGGCCAATTTCTACCTCTGAATTGGAATAATTACTATTTGTTGTTTATTAAATGACATAACACCCTTCTTCCTCCTTTTTAATCCATTATCTCAATTCAGTAAAGACATTTTTGTAGCTCATTATTTAAGTCAGACATAAGTAAAAAACATCAGACATTCTGAACAACAACTGACTCTACAATGCAATGTGGCATATAATGACGCCTGCCACATGACAGATTATCCCTGTGCTTCAAAGGGACTAAGTACCTAGCAATGGATGCTCATCAAGACTCACTGAGATTGTTTATTTTTCCTGAGAGTTCTTCCAGATTCTTCTCTTCATTTCCTTCCAATCTGAAGGAATCTTCCCATCCTGGAATTTTCACATCACTTTATTTCATCACATTAGAGTTATTTGCTTCCTATCTCCATAATCCAACCTTTTTTTTTTTTTTTGGTACCAGAGATCGAACTCACGACCTCGCGCTTACCAGGCAGGCACTTATGCTGCTGAGCTAAATCCTTGGCCAAAACTTATTTTTAAAGATCATTCATTCATCTCCCTATAGTCCTCATGACTGACATGGCTTATTGCACATCTTATACATAGAAGGTACTGAACAGATACCTTTGAATGAAAGACTGATGAGTTAAAGCAGAGTATTAAATGGCTTAAGAAATTTGCCAAGAAAGCTAAAGAAACACACACCAGGTTGAGCTTTTAGGAGTGACTCTGAGCTCTAGGTCACCAAGGAAACTCTGCTTCATTTGTGATCAGAAAGCTATCATGATCAGGGAGAAGTACAGTGAGGAAGTGGCTACCACCCATGATTATTACCGAAAACTTCTACACAGTCATGATGGTGCTTTTGGAGAAATAGCAGCTCCAGAAAACATGTGTTTTGACTCAGGTCTAAAAACTAGTGTCTGTTTCTTTAGCTTCAGTGTTTAGGACACTGGGACTAGAGTCAGAGTTTGAGGAATAGGTAGGCTCTTCAGCAATGAATCAGTCACTATGAACTATGTTGCCTGGAAACCAAGAACTCCTTGCTGATGTTTTTCTCTAAACATGCTAAGAACCAAACAACTCCCTTCCACCCTCAGGTCCCACCCTGACACCAGTTAGATTTGTTTACTGATAGCATGGTCCTTAGCAACATCAAGAACTTCATAGCAATAAGGAGTTGGCACTTTATTGCAGAGATCCCATTACTACCCCATATGAAGCTGTCACTTTCCCCAAAGAGTAGCTAACACCTCTGGTGCCAATTTCTCACTCATGCATTCTCCTCCAGACTGCTGCAGGAAGCACACAGACTTGCTGCATATCACTTACTCCACAGGCTCATGACAATCTCCTTCCTTTGTTTCCAAATCCTAAGCAAATTACTTAGTTAACAGTCAAAACCCAGATAACCTCTAACAGTTCCACAGACAGGTATGCTTTACAGTTACCTGCTGTTTGCTTTCCTTAGCAGGCACTGATACGACAAACAAAACCTTTCAGACATGAAAGCTCCTGAGTCTCTTTCACTTTCTGACATTTTTCAGAATTGGAAATTCACCCTAAAAATAGTATCCCACAGTCTTCGTCAGTGTGCAGAGCTGAGGCAGGATGTTCTACAACCCCACCCATTCCTGTAGTTCTTTGCAAATGGGAATTGCAGTGGCTGGACTGAAACAAAGATATTGCACACTTCTGGAACCCTTAATGTATACAGAAAACCCAGGCTCCTCAAAATACTTTCTAGATTTTTCTTTCTTGTTAATGTGTTTCTGCGATTGTTATCTTCTGTTGCCTGCTTTTAGCAGAAAAGATTTCAGTCTCTGTGAAAGCTTACCTTGTCATCCTGGAGTGTGATTGGCCACCTAATCTTCTATCGCTGGGTGGGGGTGGTAGTGGTGGTGGGGGTGCAGTGAATCAGGCTGTGGCAGGTTCCAGGTGGAATGGATTCCCATTTACGCTAACATTCCTTTCTATACTTTGGAACTAGAAAGCTAGCAACCATTGTTTTCCATGCTTTTATTTTCCATGTACTTGCCTTTTCTTTGTTTTCTGTGGTCCAGGTGGTCTTTTGTACGTACAGTTCTGTTAGATATACCCAAGAGCAATGTGGTAGGTGGCAAGTGAGTCAAAACTCCTGTTTTCTAGGGCTGCTATTTCTCCAAAATCACCATCATGGCTGTGTAGGAATTTTCTGTGGTAACCATGGATGGTAGCCACTTCCCGATTATACTTCTCCCTGATCATGGTGGCTTTCCAATCACAAATGAGGCAGCAGTTTCTTTGGTGGCCTGGTGCTTAGAGTCACTCCTGAAAGCTCAACCTAGTGCATATTTCTTTAGCTTTCTTGGCAAATTTTGTAAGTCATTTAATACCCTGCTTTAACTTGCTAGAGTGAATTCTCTTCCCTACACTGACCCTTAATCAAAGCTGAGGGCAATTGGGCTAGGACATTAATCCCCCGGCACTCAGCAGGGTGTACTGAGGTAATCAGCCAGTCAGCAGGGGTCCTGCACAGAGCCTCGGGCTGGATGCTCCACGAGAGGAGGACCCTGTCTGCCTCGGTACCTTGCTCATGCCCTTTCTGCTGCTCAGGATGGTCTTTCCTCCACCTCCGCGTAGCTCCTTTGAGAACTACTCCTCTCGCCCAGCTGGAAGCAGCTTTTCCTTCTCTGAATTCTTTAAGCAGCACACTTCTCTTAGGAAGCAATCACTTTCTACTGATTATTGTTACTTATGTGCATTTCTTATCTCCTGAACAAAATTGTCACCCCTTTAGAAGCAGAAGCCGAGTTTGAATTGTTTTGGTAGGTCTCAAGAGTTCCAGTCCTGGCCATGCTTTGTGTGTATAGGCCCACAGTAACACTCATGACACAAATAAATGAACAGGGAAGACACACACATATAGATGCATCAGTTTTAATAATTTGCTTTCCAGTGGATTTGAGGATCTTTCAAAGACTTTATGCCAGTTTAAATTAGATCGACAGTGCTGCCTTAGAGAAACTTTCTCTGTAAAGATAGAGGTAACCCCTAGGCATAGGTAATTACTGACCATGTGAAATGTGGCTTAAAGGACTAAATAACTGGATTTTAAATTCTGTTTAATTATTAACTTAAATCGGGGTAGCCACAGTGGTCAGTGGACTATTACACTAGAAAGCATGCACTAGTTGGTGGACACCTAGGCCCTTTTCACTAACTATTCACTCCATTGTGGCAATCCAGGATGCCTTAAATGTCATCCTTAGTATTTCCGACTTGGGACTTTGCCTAGCCCGGGACAGGATATTACAGCTCAGGAGAAAGACAGAGAAGTAGAAGCTTCATGGGGAGACTAGCTTTCAAATACTCTTTCTTTTAATTTTTAAAAGTGATGTGACTCTTTAGAAATTAAAGGCATTCCTTACTTCTTGTAGGCATAAAAGGCTGATAGCCTGGTGTAGGGCTGTGGTAGCACACAGGCAGAATGTCACTAACTCATGAATGACCATGACATTGTATTCTGGGAGGCAGCTTTCCGGGTGAGCTACAGCATTGCTTGTAGCTCACCGTCACTTACAATGTGATAATAACTAACACACATTTAGCCTTTATTATGAAATTTACACTTGTCTAACTCCTTTTTGTGAAACCTCCAATACCAATTCTGTGGCTGTGATTACTCTTATTTCCAAATCTTAAGTGATAAACTAAAGCCCAAAGTGGTTAAGTGACTTGCCTGAGGCCATGCTGACTACACGTGGTAGAGCTGGGATCCAAATCCAAGGTGTTTGGTTTGAGAGACCATACTTTAACTCTTGTCTCCTAGAGCACTGTGTTTAGCTGGACTCAATGGGGGTAATGATGACTATAACTAATATTAATAACAGCTAAAGCAGACTAGGAAATGTTTAGGTCTCTGGAAGTTTTATAGGGAAGTTTACAGTTTTTTAGGGAATCCTTTTTCATACAGAAGGCATGTGATCTCACTTTTTTGAAAAAGCATATTGAAAGGAATATGCTTTCAATTTTCATGGTGGCCTATTATGGTGGTTTTCTGATCACAAAGGAGACAGCAATTTTTGGTGACTTGGTGCTTGGAGTCACTCGTGAAAGCTCAACCTAATGTATATTTCTTTAGCTTTCCTGACAAATGTTGTAATTCATTTAATGCCCAACTGTCTTAGTTACTTTTCTCTCTTTGCTGAGCTAAAATATCCAACACCCAAAGTTTGAAGGAGGGAAGGTTTATTTAGCCCACAGTTTGTGGAAGTTTCAGCCCATAATCTCAAAGGCAGAGGGACAATGGTTATGGCAGTGGAAGATACCAAAAGCAATGAGAGAGAGAAACAGAGAGAAAATCTGATTATCAGGATTAGGGTGGAGCCAATGCAATCAATGGACTGATCAACAATCACCCAATCGTAATCTTAGGACCCTTAACTCTAGCACTGAACCATGAATCAATCACACACTTTAGATTTTGCCACCTCTGAAAAAGTCTGATCTAAGATTACATGAGGCTTTGGGGAGACATCTAGACACAAATCATAATACCAGCTTTAACTTGGAGAGTTTTTTATTTTATTTTATTTAATATTTACGGTTGGAAGGAAAACAAGGTATGTGAAGAAGGCAGTGCTTTGCAACATGGCTCCAAATATCTGGAGCCCTATTTTGTCTTGAGAGCCAGCCTGGAACCATGGGCCAGTAGCAGGCAGGCTCAGAGGCTCAGTAATGAAGTTTGAATTTTTCTTTGAGTCACTGTACGCTTTTAGGATGGAAAAAAATAGGTTGTAATGATGCTCTGCTTCAATCAATGTGGCAGTGATATGCGAGGGGAAGCAGACTACAGATGGACTGAGGGGAGGAGGTAATCAGAAGGCTTGTGAGGACGAGGGCTCTGTGATGGGAGGAGTAGAGGAAACGAAAGACAGGAAAGTCAGGAAATGAAAGGAAAACCAATAGGACTTGTGAATAATTGGACCCAGGGGTGGGAAAAGCAGGCATTGAAAATTTTCACCCAAAGTAAGAAGATGAAGAAACAATTTTAAAGGAAAGAAGATTCAAACTCATTGAATTTTAGATGAGACAGGGGCACTAAATTGTGATGGCTACAAGATGGTAGGAGATGCTGAAATGTAGAAAATAACTCAGGCTTGTGATTTATTAGAGAAATGGGAGAACTGTATTGGTGAGAATTAGGAAGGCTATGAGAGAAGGACTGAGTCAAGAGAGTGTGTCGGTGTAAATCAGGGTGACATAGGAGATCAGCTCAGAGAGCCCACAGGAAGACCATTGGTAACATTTGACAGTGTGGTCCGTGTTCTCCAGAGCAAGAGAACCAGTAGATATGCGTCATATACACGTATATACATAAAGAGATTTACTATGAGTAGTTGGCTCACATGATAATGGAAGTTGAGAAGTCCCAAGACCTGTAGTCAGCAAGCAGAAGACCCAGGGAAGTCAACAAATAGCTCAGTTGGAGTCTGAAGATCTTAACATTAGAGAACTGATGATATAAATTTTAGTTCAAAAGCTGTCACATGTATGACTCAAGAAGTGCCAATGCTTCAGTCCAAGTTCAAAGGCTGCCAGCTCAAATGAACAAGCAGAGGGAACTGTCTTTTAGTCTTTTTGTTCTGTTGAGGCCTTCAGCTGATTTTATGAGGCCCACCCACACTGGGGAAACAATTTCCTTTATTCAAATGTTAATCTCATTCAGAAATACCCTCTAAGATACACCTAGGATAATGTTTGGTCAAATGCCTCGGCACCCCATGGCCCAGTCAATTTGCTACATAAAATTAACCACTGTAAATGCTAAGAAGTCAGCTTCTTGGGGGCTACAGAAGAAATATGTGTTGGGGAAAATGGTGCAGGAGACACAAACTCCACTTGAGAATGTTGGAAGCAGAAATGGGGGAGAAATCCTATCATAAGCTGAAGGGGCAGCTGGGTCAACTAATATTTCTTTAAATGACAAAGGACAACTGACTTGACTTTTCCTTACTCATTCTATTATTCCCCAGTAGGTTATTAAATTGAATACACAATTTTCATTCTAATTATATTTGTTTAAAAGTAAGTGGAAGATACTCTGTGTTTTGGCAGGCATACCCACTATTGGCAGAGGCAGATGGCCTAGAAATAACCTGAGGCAAAGGAAAAAAATCCTAGCTCATCACCTGAAATGTGCTGCGGGTAAAGGTGAATGCTGCTTAGAAGGACAAAATTGACTTCTCCGTATTATTTATAGCTTTTTGTCGTTTGTGCAGAATGCATCTGTTTCTTGAGAGCATGTTGACAGCCCTAGAGTTTATTTAGTGAAATATGAGGAAGTACACCTTTCAGCATTGGTGGCAGCTGGGTTGGAAGGGGTAATGAAACCTGTAGTTTAGTCAGCTGGGCCAAATGGTGAGTTGGCTGATGTACAGTGACACATCCCTGCCGTAGTCTCCATCTGATCAATGAGAGACAGATAGAGAGAGAGAGCGAGCAGAAATCTAAAAGATAGATAACGATTCTCTCTCTTTTCTCTCTCAAGGTCTCATTTTGTAGTTCAGGTTGGTCTTGAACTCACTATGTAATCCAAACTGGCCTCAAACTCATGGGCATTCTCCAGTCTCAACCTCCCAAGTTTAGGATTACTGGTGTGCACCACCACGCCCAGTGTGAAGTCCCTTTTGAGCTTGCAGACTATCTGATGGAGTACTGTTTTAATGTCTCATCAGTGCTGTCCCCTTCCTCTCAACACCTCTGTCCTTAAATAGACATCATGTAGCTAGCGAAGCCTGGGAACTTGGTCCTGGGGAGTCATCTTCTTGGAAATCACATTTCTTTCATCATTTAACTCTTAAAGAGGACCTCAGAATACCGCTCATGTAGCACTTGTATATTCAGAAAATCAGGAGCGCAGTGCATCTGTACATATTCCAAGAATTTTATGTAGTTGGCTTTGCATACTGTGTAAA